GGGCCCAACATCCAGAAGCTGCTGTACCAGCGCTTCAACACCCTGGCCGGCGGCATGGAGGGCACCCCCTTCTACCAGCCCAGCCCCTCGCAGGACTTCACGGGCACCCTGGCCGATGTGGACAATGGGAACACCAACGCCAACGGGAACCTGGGGGAGGCCAGCCCCGCCCAGCCCACAGCCCCGCTCCCCGTTGAGCCGGCCCCGGCCTCGGACGCCAACGACAACGAGCTCCCCTCCCCTGAGCCAGAGGGGCTCATCTGTCCCCAGACCACCCACCAAACAGCTGAGCCTGCCGAGGACAACAACAACAATGTGGCCACAGCCCCGTCCACAGAGCAGGTCCCCAGCCCTGGGGCCGAGGCCCCCTCTCCAGGGGAAGAGCAAGGCCCCCCATCACTGCCTCCCGTCGTGCCTCTGCCGGCAGCCTCTACGGTGGGTGTCGTCCTGGACCAGGGCCCAGGCTCCCTCCTCGTGGGGGACCCACCTGTGTCAGCCGTGTGCTGAGAGCAGTGGGGCTCTGCAGACCCGTCCCCACCCTCCCTGAGCCAGTCGCTCAGCACACAGATGGGTCCTGTGGAGGGCATGGCTGCACAGCTCTTACTAGAGGCCCCAGCGGGGGGTGCCCCAAGCTTCCCTGAAGATGGGGAGCTGCCTCTGGAATGGAAGGGCAGGCCACAGGAGGGGTGTGGGGGAGGAGAGCCTCCTAGACAGAGCCCTTTGGTGGGAGATCAGTGTTGACAGAGCAGAGGGTTGGGAGCCCCTAGCAGTTGGTAGGAATGAGCTGCTAACTCCAGGCTGACAGCAGTTAAGCTTGGCTGTCACCCACCTGGTTCCCTGCACAGGTGCCCCACAGGCCAGGGCCAGCCTGAGGCAGTGTCCCGGGAGCACGGTGCTGCAGTGTGGAGGACCGCTGGGGCGAGCCACTGCCGAGCTGCAGGGTCAGCCCCTACTCCCAGCCAGGCCCGGGCTCTGGGCAGGTCACCAAAAGTTAAAGCCGCTTCCTCCCGGCAGAGCAAGCGGACCAACCTGAAGAAGCCCAACTCGGAGCGCACAGGCCGCGGGCTGCGGGTCCGCTTCAACCCGCTGGCGCTGCTCCTGGACGCATCCCTGGAGGGGGAGTTCGACCTAGTGCAGAGGGTCATCTATGAGGTAGGCTTGAGCCCCGCAGCCCGCGCCCTTCCCCTGCCCTCCTGCCCGCCGGCACGTCACCGCAGCTCACACATGCCCGTTCCAGGTGGAGGACCCCAGCAAGCCCAACGACGAGGGCATCACCCCGCTGCACAACGCCGTCTGCGCCGGCCACCACCACATCGTCAGGTTCCTGCTGGACTTTGGGGTCAATGTGAATGCCGCCGACAGCGATGGCTGGTGAGGCCCGGGCAGCATGGGCGAGGACGGGGCCGGGACATCCCACCCCACCCGGCGGTGCTGTAAAAGGCACACTGCGGGGTGTCCTTGTGCTTGGTTACGGGCATTGCAGGAAAACATGCCGGTGACTGCCCCCTGCCCTCTGCTCCCTGTGGTGGGCGGCAGGTCGCGTGGCCCACCCTCAGCTTCAGGCAGCTGTCTGCTGTGTGGACACCTGGCTTTCATGGCAAAGTACACACAGCTGGCCCCGTCGTGACCACTCAGGCTGCGTGTCTGTGGTGGGATGTGCGTCCGCACTGCTGTGCGAGGACACCTATTTTGGGGCCGTCTGTCAGCCCCCCTCTTTAGAGACCTACCTGCCTGTGCTCCAGTTCGGTAGTAAGCGTCCCACGTGTGAAGGGACAGCAGCACAGCACAGCCCTTTCCCCCCAGGACCCCGCTGCACTGTGCTGCCTCCTGCAACAGCGTCCACCTCTGCAAGCAGCTGGTGGAGAGCGGCGCTGCCGTTTTTGCCTCGACCATCAGCGACATCGAAACTGCCGCAGACAAGTGTGAAGAGATGGAGGAGGGCTACATCCAGTGCTCCCAGTTCCTGTACGGTGCGTGGGGCCTCGGGGGCACCGGGCCAGGGAGAAGCCCCGAGTGGAGCTTCAGGCACAGCCCGGGGAGCCCCGTTCCGTGGGGGCTGCACTGTCCCTTAGGCTCACTCCCGAGCCACGTTGGCAAGCCCATGTCACGAGGATTCTGTGCCAGATGGCTGGAAAACAGAAGTCCCTTCTCTGTGCAGACGCCGCCCCGCTGGGCAGGGAGTTGGCACAGGGCGGGCTGGGCACTACCTGTCCCTGTACTTGTGCTGGGATGCACCCCACACTGAGTGGGGCGGGAAAGAGGCCTGTGAGGGCCGCGGCTTTCCCAGGGTCCCGCCAGGGTTCCTGTGGTGACCACTGATGAGTGAAGCATATCGTGTCTTCATTGGGCTGCTTCAGTCGGGGTCACACTTGCCAAGAGCCGGAACATCTGTCCAAGGGTTAAACGGTCATAGGTTCGGGTCCCACACCGGACTTGAGAAGCTGTGGGTCTAGCCCTACATTCGGCCCCTGGACAAAGCCATCAACTAGAGCAGGCCCAGCTTCCAGCACAGAGGCCCGTGTGGTGGGGCGGGGACCTGAGGCAGTGACCGCTGTGGGGAGGAGGGAGGTACCAGGGTCACCAGCATGTCTGGCCTTTCCTGGGACCCCACAGGTGACTCCTGGCCGTGAACGTGCTCAGTTCTTGGTTGAGCCCCATGTAGCCCCTTCACGGCCCTGCAGGAGCAGCATGCACTTCAGTCAGGGACTTCGGGAAGCTTGTTCTAGGTGTGAGCTGGCCGGCCCCCTGAGAAGTCCCTTTTAGACCAGCACACCAGTTTGCCTCTGGACGCAGCTTCAGTAGCAGTGCTCGGGCTGGGATGTAGAAATAACCTGGCATTCAACACAGGGCAGCCGCCGGGCCGGGGGACCGTCAGGCATCGCGGGTCTGGTCCTGGAGCGGGGCACGCTCTGTAGCCCGCCCTCCACGAGACCTGACCATTTGCTCTCTGATCCCAGGGGTGCAGGAGAAGTTGGGTGTGATGAACAAAGGAGTGGTGTATGCTCTGTGGAGTTATGAGGCCCAGAACAGCGACGAGCTATCCTTCCATGAAGGAGACGCCATCACCATCCTCAGGCGCAAGGACGAAAGCGAGACCGACTGGTGGTGGGCTCGTCTTGGAGACCGGGAGGGCTATGTGCCCAAAAACTTGCTGGGGGTAAGTCCACTCAGCTGCTATACCTTCCCTCCTGAGGTCATGTACCCCAAATCAGCTGTCACATAACACTGGGCACAGCTGGGGTCCACGGGCAGGAGACTGCCTTTCTCCACATCTCAGCGCCCCATCAGTGGGCATGTTTGCAGAGTTGGCACGGGCCCCGCCTGGCCGAGACTCCCAGCGTGGGAGCAGCAGGGCGTCTGCTCGAGGCCTGCTCAGTGCTTTCCTCACGGGGGACTTCAGTGAGCACCCAGCCTCGCCCCAATCAGAACTCTGCAGCCCAGAAATATTTCATGGGGAGGTGCGGAGCCTTGCATCAGGCCTGTGGCGGGGCCTCGGTGCTGCCTGAGCACCGTGCCTGGCAGTGAACCAGAGCTGCCTGCCCTCGGGAGCTTTAGTGACAATCACTGTAGGCGGTACCAAGGGCCATGAGAAATAGCGGGGTTAGGGAGCGCCTCAGGAGGCGGCTGCCCGCCCCTGCTCAGTGTGCTGTCTTCTTGTCCTAACTCGGTTCCGTGCTCCCCAGCTGTACCCTCGGATCAAACCCCGACAGCGAACGCTCGCCTGAACCTCCCTTTGGAGCACCACACAGGCTGCCAGTGACGAGGAGCCCCTGGGGTGAGCCTGCATCTCCCCGGGAGGCTGAAGCTAGAAACGGTTTCATGGTGCTCACTTCAGCAGACCACGTCCACAATGTGAAATTCCCGCAGTTTCTAGGTGAGGCCCTTTCTCCATTTTCGCCTCCAAGACCACTGCATTTTGCCAACTACTGTAAATCCAAATAAATACCCAGCTTTCTAAACCACCACCCCTGTTGCCAATAGAAGCCCTAGAATTAACCCTTGGTTGGTTGCCAATGAAGACAAACGCTCTTACTGACTAGGCCCCACGGCCGCCCCATTCTCGATGTCACCCTCACCCCCCGCCCAGTGAAGCCTGCAGCTGTGAGGTGCACTCCCTGCCCCCCCACTACAGCCCTGTCACTGGACATCACAGAAAGCCACCATCTACCCCTCAGCACACCTTGCTCCCTTTCGTTACCACAAGGAGCCCTGTAGGGACACTCATGTGCGGTGGTGGTCCTGAGGCGGGGCTCCACTGCCCGTTCTGGGCTTTGGTCTCGGTCACCTGTAGGCTAACAGTGTTGGGCTGACGTCCAAGCCAGTCACAAGGGCCCCTAAGACCAAGTGACCCACGACCAGGAGCCTCAGCACAGCACTGTCCCTCCTTGGCTCAGAGCTGCCTTCTCTGCAGCCTCTTGCTGCCCAGGTTGGTTCTCCTCCCCTCACAGCATGGACACTGCTGAGTGCGGTCAGACCCTGCAGCCATGGGCCAGGGGGCTGAGGTCAGTCAGTCAGGGTGGGGTGGACATGGGGACCCCTGCACGCTGGACGGGCAGCTGTGGGGCAGGAGGGCGCATCCGGCCTGCAGACCTTTGCCCCAACTCCAGACTTAAAGCAAGTAAGGCCCCTCACTGACGTGTACTTGTACGGACAGGCTTTTATATATCAGAAGTATTTTTGGACTAGACCATTCAAAACTCCCCAGAATGATGTTGGAAATGGTTTTTCTCATTAAAATCCAGGCCCTTAGGCTTTATTTTCCATGTACGAGTCTGGTGTATAATTTACGTATAAATGTGTGTACAGGCCCATTGCTGTAGCTGATGACCTTTAAGCATTGACTGTCACGCTGGTGACAAACAGCGGACACCCGGTGGGGCAGCCGGTGCTGCCATGTAAATATGCACAATAAACGTGTGTCTCACCGCGGCTGCGAGTCGTGTATTCTGGAGTCAGAACGGAGCCATGGCAGGAAAGCTCAGTGATGGGCAAACACAGAGTTAGTATTTTCAAAATAGGTTTTAATCGAGCTTTATATACAAACTGTTGTACAATTATTTTAATAAAGTGAAAAGTACATGAGAAAGCGGGCTCCTCCCCCGTAGTGAAGCAGCAAAGGTTGTTCCTTGGCCCCGATTAGTGCCAGGCTACAGGAGTCCGTCCACTGGCGGTGACCCAGCCTGAGGCCCCACCGCCACATCATCTCTGTGGAAGAACTGATGAAACGGATGTCGAGGGGCAGAACCTTCTCATAAACCCGGCCTCATAAAAGCATGGTCTAGATTAGGCTAAAAACAGTTTAGCAGTAGTGTAGCTCAGTCTCTCCCACCCCCAGTTAAGTATCAACAAGAAAAGACACAGCTGAAGCAGGAAGCTGTCGGGGGCGTTAGTCAACGGCGTGCACACTGGACCAGGTAAGCGAACACGCGTGCTTCTCCCAATACTTGCATTTCCCAGCGCACGTGGCTGAGCTGCCTGTGTGGGCGCAGCTGTAGCTGACGGGCCGGCCCACGCGTGCTTACTGGTCCCGAGATTCGTAGAGGAGCTTGGCGGCCTGCAAGGTGACAAGAAACATGGAGCACCAGGCCTGGTCCGGGAGCTGGTGGGGCACCCCAGCCGGGCCTGCCGCCACACCTTGTGCATGGCCACCAGCCACGCTGTCGCCTGCCTCCTGCTGGCATGTGCATCCTCCCCGGCTGTCAGCTTCAGCTGGCTCATGCCTTCCGACCCGGGCACCGTGTACTGCAGGGACATGCCTGTGGCCCGCGCGTTACCTCCTGGAGGAGGGAGACCAGGTGAGAAGGCTCAAAGGGGACCCTGAGCAAAGTCACAGGCTGGAAAAGGGCCCGAGTCACCTGGCCTGGTGCCCTCCAGGGCCTGGGACAGACAATTCGCACCACATCACTGAGCCAAGAGAGAAACGCTGCTGCGTCTCCTGGTCCGTGTGGGGGTTCCGGCCCTCAGGAAGTCCGACAAGCAAGGCAGCTCCTATAAGCACCCCTGTCTGCACCGGGGCGGGGGGTCAGGTGGTCACAGCCACCCCCCACTGAGAACCAGGGTCAGAGCTGAGGGGACTGAACAGGCAGGCAAGGCCTGGCACCACACAGGTGCCCCTACCCTGGTGTGCAAGCTCCCGCAAAGATGCATGTGCGGGACCGGCCACTGGGACACTGCACATCTCGGGGCCAGGACGAGCTGCTCCACTGATACCTCGACTCCAACACCTGTTCTGAGAGCCAGCCACTCACACAGGGCTCTCCCAGGCTCGGCTACAGTCAGGAGAGTCCTGTGGAGACCAAGCTCCAGAGCACTTCACCCACCGCTTTTTACTTTGTGACTGGGGGCCCACAGGCCAGTAGGGGGAGCGTGCTGTGGTTGGGAAAGGCCTGCTGACCGCAGGGCGATCGCAACTGTAAAGTGCTGTCCCCCAGGGCCCGGAAATCCTCAACAAGCGTGTCCCAAGCCTCACTCCCACCTGCTTGTCAGCGTGGCTTGTCCCGACTGGACTCCAGCAGGAGTCCCCCACACTCTGCCCACCATCTGCTACTGTAAGTAGTTGTACTGACAGGTCCCTAACTCCGCCGGCTGCTTTCGCACTTTGCAAGTCTGGCTGGCCGGCAGAGCTGAACACAGTTACTGCCTGGCCCTCAACAGGCCAGCGGGCAGGCCTCTCAGGGAGCTGTCTCAGGGCCCGACCCCCATGGGAAGGGGTGCTGCGGATACTTAGAGGTCCTAGAAAACCTGGCAGGGCGGGACTCAGTGGACTCACAAAACTGCCACAAGGGGGCGCACGGTGCCCGAATCCCAGGGCCCCGCCCAGGAGAAAGGCCGGAGAAGCTTCACTAGGCCAACTGGGGTGGTGACCTCCTCCCTGGCCTTGGGCCACCTGGGCTGACCCCAAGGGTGCCTTTAACTACCAGCCTGCCACAGCCAACCAGCTTGGTGCCACCAAGAGGGGCAGGGGTGGCAAAGCACTGGCCTGGGACCCTCGCCATCATTCCGGGGCTCAGACAGACACAGAGTCGGAGCCCCAGGAGGCCACAGCAGCTCCCGAAGAGCACGGTGAGCAGCTGCTGGGGCAGGAAGGTGTTGGGAGAAGGGCTCCCCAGACTCGGCCTGCCCAGGGCCAGCAGATACCCACAAGAAGCTGTGACATGCTGGTGAGGCTCCCACTTGTGGTAGAAGAACTGAGCAACTAAATACATTTCTTCTGCTGGGGTATTTTCATTTGTGCCTTAGATGCCCACGTCATGGACCAAGAAACCCTTTCTTTCCAATCGACCACAAGAAAGGAATGTGCATTTCACAGAGGCCTTTGGCGTGGACCCCCCAGACAGAAAAGAGTCAGGGCGCAGCATGGGGGCAGAGCGAGGGGCACGGCTGACCTTCAGAGGCGGGCTGGCTCCCCAGGAGGCTGGTGTAAGTGTGAATGTCTTTCTCTAGACAGGAAGGTAGGCAGGCAGGAGAGAAGAACAATCAAGTCGGATCAGAAAACAGAAAGCAGGGAGGTTAAGTCACATGGGCTCTGCAGCACCCTGCGGTGCCGACCCACTTCCATGGGAGACACCACTGAAGTGCACACTCAGCTGGAAAGACCCAGACTGGGCTAAATGCTCTGGGAGCTCGCCAAGGAACAAGAAGGAATTTCCAGACGCTGAGCCACACCTGGGAGGGCCCAGTCAGCCACACTCTAGCCCCTGGGAGGGACGCTGGGTGACGCCACCTGCACGTGGAGCTTTGTCCTGGGGTGGAAGCCAACAGGAAACAAATGTGTAGGCCACATTCCTCCGTCATTTTGCATGCTAAGCACCCCATTCACCTGGCGAGTTCCTAAAGCCACTTAGTAAACACAAGCCCACAGAGCAGGAAAAGCAGGCATCTCGGCACCCATCCCCAAAGCCGCTGTCACCCAAAAAGCCCCCCGGCTGGCACCAGGCGTCCTGCTTAGCCAAGGGCAGGGCGGCGTTTACCTCCAGGGGGGAAGCCTTCTGTGAGAATCTGCACGGTCGAAACGTGTGCGAAATCGATCTCATGGCGGCTGTCCCCATCCAGGAGCAAGTACCTATGAAACAAGGGCGTCCAAACACGCTACACGAGGGCTCGATGTGACAGCTGTCGGTGCCACGCAGTGCTCTGCCTCTTACCTCTGGTTGTTGGAAAGACGGCAAACCATTGTTTCTGATTTCTCTGAGTTTCCAAAAGTTACAAGGAAGGTGGCTCCTTGGGGCACAAAAGCAAGTGTGAGCACACAGCCGGCCCGGCCTCGCCTCGCCTCGCCTCGCCCTGCCCGGGCAGAACGCCTGGCTTACCGCCCAGGAGCACTCTGAGCTGCTTGTCGTAGAACTCGGACTCCTTGTGGGACACCAGGGCACACGGGCCACACTGCCGCACCGGGTCCACAAAGCACATGCGTGGCAGTGCCACCTTCTGGCTGCAGCACTTGTCGCAGAAGCACTTCCCGCATCGGCGGCAGTGGTGCTGGGGACGGAGGGGCCGGCTGTGAGCAGAGGCCGGGGCACCTCCCGACACAGGCCCCAGACGCGGAACCTCGCCGTTAAGAGGACAGGAATGCTGTGAGGGTCCACGGCACAGCAGGCTCTGTGAACCCCACGGCCGGGATGCCCCAGGGTCACATGGGTGTGGGGCCACCTCCTGGCGAGCTTAGGCAGCCCACCCACTGGGACAGACAAGGTGCTCTGGCCATGCCTCCAGGAAGCCGGCCCAGGGGGAGGAGATGTCTGTGTGGTCCCCTTCTGCCCGATGGCCTCAGCTCACCTTTCTGGTCAGAAAGTCAAACTTGGTGTCACACTGCATACATCTTGGGCACTAGGAGGGAAGGCAACGAAGTATCAGAGCCCAGCTCTGTCACTGGCTAAGTGGCTGGGCTGAGAGGTGTGGGAAAGCCAGCCTCCCTTCCCACAGCAGCTCTGGTGGCTCTGTGCCCAGGTGGCCCAGCAGCTCAAGAGCCCAGCAGGCCGCGGCGTGGGGGCTGCCCGAGGGCACTGATGGGACAGTACTGGGTGCCCAGTGGCCCGGGTCATGCCAGGGTAGGGAGAGGCCGGTGGTTTGAGCTCGCATCACCACGCTCAGATCACTTTAGGAACTCCCTGGCCCTGTGATTGGAGCCGAGAGTCAGCGCCATGAAATGACAGTGCAGGTTCAGAGCAGGAAGGGCATGATGGCCCCACTTCATGAAGGAAGTGCGGGGAGTTGCTGGGCTGGGGGGAAGCCAAGCACCTATTCTGATCGGTCCCTCTGTTTGGCCACTGAGAGTCCTGGAGCGCGTGGCAGAGGCTGCAGCAGAGGCTGCAGCAGAGCTGAGTCGCCCGGTGCTCTCAGGTGCGGGACTCGGGGGCTCGGGCGGCTGGGCTGGCCGTGCTGGCAGGGAGAACCTGCACGCGGGTGGCCGGAAGGATGACTCCCTCAGAGTGGGGACTGGGTGGTGCAGCCCTGCTCCAGGCGCCGAGGACCAGGGACTTGACAGGGCCACATTACCCTCAAACTAGCCGTCCGACGAACTCAGACCCTGATCTAAGAGGCAGTTCAGCTCCACCACCAGACGACGGGCTGTCCCAGCGCTGACAAGGCTCAGCTGCCCCCGACACCAATCCAACGGCAGCCCACCAACACCGTGACAGCAACACCGCCCGCCTGCCACAGCAGGGACCAGGGTTCACGAGACAGACCAGGCCATGTGACCCCAAGGATCAGCCAGCAGGCCTGTCCAAGTGTCCTTCCTTTCGCAGGCTGGAACTCACCCCTGCCCTGCACTGCCCTGGGGCCCAGCCCCCGAGGCAGCAAGGGAGCTGCTCTGAGAAAGTCCACGATCGGCGCCCAGGGCCCACACATGCTCCTAGAAGAAGGCTGGAGCCTCAGCCGCAGTGTGCCCTTTGCGGAAGGACAGGTGTCCAGGCTGGGCCTTTCCAGACGTCACCCTGCAGCGGGAGGGGCGCCCTCAGACCCACCCAGCTCCACATAGCCGCCTGGCACCAGGCACAGTCTGAGCTCGTCAAGATCCCGTGACTAACCTTTTCTTGTTTCCGCTTTGCTCTTAAGCTGCTTTCTGGAATCGGACATGAGCCTGGCCCACCCTGGCCTTCCAGAACCATCCAGAGCCCCCGCCAGCTTCCGGCACGGGCTGCTGCGCACTGCGCTGCTGCTGCTTCCTCCCAGCCCTGCCACCGCCTCCTGCTTCTGTCCGTTCGGGAGGTTCTGGAGGCTCTGGGTGTCTGCACTGGGGCGTGTGCACAGGGCCACACTCCCGTGACCTCAGACGTCCGCCAGCCACAGAATGCAGTGGAGAAAGCTCCACGGGGCTGTAACCAATGAGGCTGGACAGACAGGAAAGCCACACAGGACCGACCAGGTCCCAGTGCTGGTGGCAGCTCCCCGAGGCCTGCCCAGGCGCCACGCCCGGCACACGGCCCTGAGTCCGTCTCCCAGTTATTCTAAGCCTCACGTGTTGGGGCAAGTTCAAAGACCGCTTTCTGGGGCGGCCAGTTAGCTCAGCTGGTTAGAGCATAGGCTCATAACACCAAGGTTGCCGGTTCGATCCCTGCATGGGCCACTGAGCTGCGCCCTCCACAACTAGATTGAAACAACTANCTTCTTTGGAGAAATGTCTACTCAAATCTTTTGCCCATTTTAAAATTGGAGTTATTATAAAAAAATTTAAATTGGGGTTGTCTTTCTGTGGTTGAGTCGTAGGGGTTCTGTATATAATCTGGATATTAGAATCTTGTCAGATGGGTGATTTGCAGCGTTTTCTTCCCATAGGCTGTCTTTTCGTTTTCTTGATGGTGTCCTTTGAAGCACAGATGTTTTGTTTGATGAAGTCCAGTTTATCAGTTTTTCTTGCTTGTGCTTTTTGTGTCATATCTAAGGATCCATTGCCTCAGCCCAGGTCATGAAGACGTGCCCGTGTTTTCCTCTGAGTGTTACAGTTCGGGCTCTCACACTTGATCCGTTCTGGTTTAGTTAGTGTGATGTGAGGTAAGGGCCTAACTTCATCCTGTTGCACGTGCTTATCCAGTGGTCCCAGAACCATTTTGTTAAAGAGACTCCTTTCCCCATTGGATTGTCCTGGGACCTTTGTTGACAATCAATTGCCGTAACATTGGGGCTTTTTCCGGGTGATCGCTGGTCCTTGGCTGCTGGACTCAGGTCCATTCCCTGGTGCGGGGCCCTGGCGGGCGCGCCGCCCTGGTGTTCAGGCCCTGGTGGCATGTTGCCTGTTACCTGTTTACTCGCTTTCCCAGTCGCAGCAAAGACCGAGTTGTTACCACGGAGCCGGGATCATAGCAGGAACCCTGAAAGTGGGATCCAGAAAACGTGTGCCCGACGGAGCCTTTCAGGGCATCTCCCTGTGCCCTAAAGCCCTGATAACCCACTTGCTGCCACTCGAGACGGTCCGGGGGCAGGCCCGTAGGGTGACGTCCCGTCAGCAAGGGTGGGAGGCCAGCCCTCGCCTGCCTCCCTCCTGGGCCCGAGGGGACGCCCCTGGAGGGACGAGGTGCAGGGGCCGAGTGCTCACTGGCACCTCGCTCCCCAGGGGCCGTTTACGTCTGCACCGAAGACGTCTTCCCCAGCAAGCGTCTGCAGCAGCTCATCGCCGAGCAGCAGCACCTGCGGACAGACATCCCGGCGGAGGTGACCCAGAAGATCAAGTTTGGGGACCACATCTTCATCGAGCACGCGGCCGACGTGGTGAGTGTGCCGCACATTCAGATAAACACGATTCGTTCCCTGAAATTCAGGTTGAAGTGGGTATCCTGGACCCGACCCGCAAGGAGCGTGGGGAGGGGAGGGCACCCGGCACGGACGAGTCCCTCAGTCCCCTGGAAAAGGCCAAAATTGGGGCGAGTACCTCCTGCCCACTTGGCCACTATGAGGGGACAAGGACAGGACCCACTGTCCTGGCAGGAGGATGCTGAGTCGGGTTTCACTTCTGCCTCTGATGGAGAAGGAAAGCCCCCTCGTTGGGGCACAAGGGGCCCCCGACTTGGCCAGGGCCTACTGGGCACCAGCCCGGACAAGCCCCCTCAGATCACGCCCCACCGCCTGGTTCATCGCCGGGGTGACACCACATCTGGATGTCAGTCACCAAGTCGTGTGTTCCATCCCCACAGGGCGGGGCCGGGGGCTGCCGGGGAGCTGGACCGGCCAGGCAGGCGGGGGGAGCAGCGACCTGGTCAGCTTTTCAGCTTAGGTCATGGTTTGGTGGAGGCATGAGCATCGAATGGGAGGGACTCAGAAGGAAAGGTGGGAAGGTGGGCAGAAGCCAGTGCAGCAAAAATAAGTCCAGGCAGGGCCTCTCCAGCGGCCCGGCTCCCCTGGTTCAAGAATTGTTCTAAGGGGCCGGCCGAGTGGCGCNAGTGAGGGGACCTTGTAGGAGCAGCGCCCTCCTGACCAGCCCCTGCCCCCACGCGGACCTGGAGGTGGTCCCTGGCTGACACAAAGCCCCCTGGCGCTGTGAGGCTGATGCGCTCACACACCACCAGCCGGCAAGCCATTTGGCCCAGAGCCAGGCTTGCAGGGCGACAGCTCTTCACTTCTTCCCGTTGGGCAGGGTCCGGTCAGGTGAGGGCCGAGGGCATTGCTGCGGGGCTCCCTGCCAGCTGGTGTGTGTGACGCGAGTGCCCGCTGGGTCTGGCATGACGGGGTTTTCGAGGCTGCCTGTTTGGGCTCCCAAGCGTCAGAAATTCAAGCTGTTTTTATAAAATGTGAGAATACTAGAGTGAACGTGTTTCCTGGTAGCTCCTGGCTCTGACAAGAAGTCAGCAGTGCCCCCACGTGACTCCTGAGTGGCTCCTGAGCTGCACACGACACGGGATGGCAGCACCTTGCAGCTGCCCACACCTCTGAGCCCACCTGTTACCCCACTTCCCAGACGGGGCCCTGGAGCCAGAGCTGGCACCTGCAGGGGTTGAGGACAGAGGCAGGGACAGATCTGGACCCGCCTTCTGAGGCTAGGCCGCCACCTCACCCTGTTGCCATCTGTCGCTGAACCTCAGCAAGTCCCTGTCGCAGCTGGGACCCTGGCGGCGGGGTTTGGAATCCCACCCGTTCCCCTTCGTTCCCGGTGAGCTCTGCGGAGCAGGGTCTGGCGCCTGCCGGCCACACTGGCCATATGGGTTTAGTGCGGGGGGTCTCCTGACCAAGTGTGGGCGTGCTCATGCCAGAAGCAGGCGTTTTTGCGTCACCTCCTGTCCCTGCATCCCTGGTAAGGGTGCAGCCAAGGAGGTGTCCTCTGCAACGTTTTCGAGACTCCCTGGTGCCCAGGTGGATGGCCTTGGCCTTGAGAGTGGGAGCTGTCACTTCGCCCACAAAGAGCTGTCATGAGATGAGACTGAGTCTGCTTAGAACGGGTGGGAGCCACCTTGCTCCCCAGTGCCCTCCGTGCCAGCCTGTGGGCAGATCGGCTTTTTGCTGCAACAACTCATGCTGAGGTCCTGCCCGTCTGCCTTCTCAGGAGCAGCTGGGTGGGCTGGGGGCTGTGCCAGGCGGGGCTGGGGGGAGCAGAGCTTGGGGGGGCAGGCGGGCAGAGCACAGGGATGGCCGGCAGGTCGCGATTCTGAGTCTCTCCTGAGCCTGGTCACCTTCCTCCACAATGACCCCCGATGTTCCAGCCCAGCGGGGTCCCTGGGGCCTGTTTTCTCTTGGCAGTTACTGATGGCACCTGTTCACGCTGGGTCCAGGCCCAGGTCTGTGTCTGTACTCTGTGTATCTGGCACATAGTGGGTGCTTGTTGACTCCCGTGGTTGCAGCCCCTCAGCAGCTTGGGGCTGGGCCAGCTCACATGGCCCGGGCCCTCCCGGGGCCCCTCCTGCGTCCCTCAGTCCAGGGCCCAGCAGGCCCAGCACGTACCCCGACTGTCCACGCTCTCAACCCCCATTCCGATGTGTCCTGCCATGAGGCGGTCACCTCACCCCCTCCACTGCCACTGCACAATCCAGGGTCTCTTCGCTTGGTGACAGTCACGTGATCTTGGGTGGATTACTCGTGACCCCTGCAGGTGACCAGAATCCACTGGGGGTCCGAGGCACATGCTCCCAGCTGCACCCGCCTCCATGGAGCCTCCAGTGTCCACCAGACCTGGACAAGGACCCCCAGCACTGAGAGTCGGTGGCTACGAGGCTGAGGAGCTGAGCTCCCAGGTGACAGGTTCTGGGGACATGGGTCGGAGGCAGTTAGAAGAACCAGCAGGATGGGCCACTGGCGGCGGGTGCGGAGGTCGCTGTCAGGCGGACCGGTGCCCGTTTCCAGAGAGGCAGGTCCCAGAAAGAAGACGCAGAGGTGAGCACCACAGTGGCCGAGGGGAAAAGGAGACAGCCTGGGAGCACGTCTCGATGAAGAGGGGAGCCCCACAGCTCCTGTGGCCTTTGAGCGTCGGGTCCAGCATGCATGTTTCCCCCAATCAAACCTGAAAGCCCTGGTTTTGAAAAGAATGGAAAGCGGTCTGGAGTTATTACAAATCCTGTGTTAGGAAAACGCGGAGCCCTCTGCCCCGCCCTCAGCTGGGCCGCCTTCCTGCCGGCTTGGTGGAGCCACTTTGGCCGCTCTGGTGGGCGGGGACAGCTCTCCCAACAAAACATGCCCGGATGAGCAAAGGTGCCCTCTCTCCTGGACCGTGGAGAGCGTGGTCACTTCCAGCTGCCCGGGGGCTGACGTGAGCCTCTTGATAGTCTTGGTCGTGTGGGGCAGCACTCCCCCCAGGAATGATCCGAGGAAGGCTAAGGACGTGAACTTGCCACTCAGCGTCAGACTGGGGGTTCCTTTGCTATCTTGCACTTCTTCTCTAAGTTTGAAATGCTGTGGAAACAAAATTAAAAGTGATGCACGCCCTCACAAACGGAGCACACACACGGTGTGGTGCTGTGGCTGACCTTCCTTCTGCCCAGAGCTGTGCTGTACACGGCGCAGGGAGGGCCGGGAAGTCCGGCTGTGAGCCTGGAGCCCTGGCGGAGCACAGCCAGCGTCTAGCCAGATCACCGGCCTGTTTTCTCTTATAAGTGGGACGTACTTCGCATACATAAAATTCACTCTTCAAATGTGGAATTCCGGGTCGTGTAGTATTTATTGTACATTCACCAGGTTGTGTGCCCATCACCACTATTTAATTCCAGAAACCCTGTGCCCAGTAGTGTCACTCCCAGTTCTCGCCGCGCCCAGCCCCTGGCAGCCACCTATCGGTGTGGACTAGCCTGTTTTGGACATTTCGCAGAAGTGGCATCAGACATGTGGCCTTCCGTGTCTGGCTCCGTTCACTCTGCATCATGTCATCGTGTGTCTGGTTCATCCGTGTGGGCACGTGTCAGTGCCTCGCTCCCGTTCACGGCTGAGTGACACTCTCCGGCTGTCTGCCCCGTTTGGCTTTTGTGAGCAGTGCTGCTGTGAGTGTGGGTGCGCCTGGCTTCGGGGATGTGTGGCTTCGTTTCCCCTGGCTGGACACCCAGGAGTGGAGTTGCTGGGTCACATGGTCACTGCACGTTTAACTTTCTGAGGACCTGCCAGCCTGTTTGAAGCAGCAGCTACACACTTTACA